AGATTTCGAGCATGCATTATTCGTGCATCCCGAGGCGGAGGCTGTGGCCACCTTTCTCCTTTTTTTGCTTTCTTTCTATTAATTAATTAGAAATTCTGTAATAATTAATGTATTTGTTATCCGGACTGTAATATTTATTTGTACCCTCTGAGTGAGGGCAATTGTGTAATAAGTGTGCGTGAGTGGGTGTATGTCTTCCAACCCCACGTCTTTCTTCCCTTTTATTTACCTGCTTACGATGGTAGACTAGGGCATATTTAAAACTAGCATACCTTATGCAATGCATGCGTGCATTCATACATTTGTCCCGCATACACCGGGCTCGGTACATCACGCTAACTGCATTTGTATTTCAGTTCCAAATTGAATACGTGCATTAAACTGGCTGCATTTCATATACCATGTTTAGGTTAGCCGAGCCTATCTAATTGCATCCTGTATGTGCTGCATTAGTCAATTCAACATGAACTAGGACACGCATGTTTGCTAACTAGTTTATTGTTTTGGCTTGGAGTACAATGTAAGTATTTATGCTTTAGCATCATCGCATGTGTGTGAATGCTATCATGACAGTATGTTTACCATGTGGCTAGTTGCTTACGTGATAAACTGTTTGAATGCCTGTGGGTGAAGGTTGGATTGTTTGAGTTGGAAAAACTCGTTGAAATCCATGTTTTAGCCTACTTGCGAGTAGCAAATTCCAAAACATTTTCCAAAACCAACGGATATGCAATGTTTCTCTTCAAATTAGGCAATCTAGTCTATACTTGTTTGCTGTGCGCATAACATAGTAATTCTAGGCTAACAATTGGAATAAGAACACATAACGTTTTCAAAATCGGATATCATGGTTAGTAGAGGCCGATCTTCGGATCGGGCGAGAGGGGGTGCTCATAACTGACCTTCCCCAATCGTACCCTAGCTCCCGAGCCGAGACGACTCCGGTGATGACGGACATGTGGCCTTCGGCACTGAGTCAGGGTTTCCTAAATTTCCCCATAAAAAAATATTTAGGTGGCGACTCTGTATCTGGCAAAGCAGTCCATGTTTGGCACTTCTTTTCAAAAAATCTGTTTCTCAAAACGATTTGCTAGAGTTGGACTCTTTGGTTCAAGATTAAGAACCGTGACACAAATCGAGTCCGAGCTGTAGTGACCCTATTAATGAACGGAACGGGAGCTCACCTTCCCGGGGCGTTCGAGGGACGTCTACAAAAATATGCAACAAAATTAATGGTTTGGATTCGCAATAGAACCGTGATGGGCCTCATAAGCCCAAACAGTGCCCTCAAATCCAAATTATGGGGTGTTGAGGTAATCTACCTTTTTAAATTTGATCAGGTCAAATAATTATGCAAATTTATTAATATTTTTTTATTTTCTATTTTCCACAGACTATTTTTTTTTACAAAATTTTTTATTGAAATTTCACTTTTAGAAAATATCATTTTTCTCTCAAACTATAACTCAAAAAATAATCCAACCATTGTTCTCTTAATAATATCTACTTTATATCTAAACTATTCGATTTTGCATCAATATTACTTCACCATCAATTATAGCCTATAATAAAATAAAAGTTGCTCATGTGGCACCCAAAATATCAATTAGTTCTCTGAATAAAATGAAGTTTGGAGGTCTAATTGATATTTTATAGATAGTTTGGACGATAAAATGAAATTTCAAATTTCATTGCCATGTCAGCAACTTTCGTTGGATTACAAACAGAAGCTAACAGCAGGGGTAAAATTAATCCAAAATCAAATAAACTAAGTGTAAAATTAATATTACTAAAATAATAGAGGTTAACTTAATTTTCAGTGATAATATGAGAGGCAAAATAATATTTCTTTTTTTACCTTTATTAAAATTATTAAATCTTCATATTAAATTATGTTAGCATATTTTCTAATAATAAATATTAATTATTATGATATTAATTAAATCAACAATTTCTTCACAAATTAAGGCATGGTTTACATTTTGTAAAATAGTAAATTACACCTTCACCTTGCTTACCTATGAATACTTTCTCACTTTGGTCTTCAAACTATTATATTCTTTTCACTTTGGTCCAAATTGTAAGAGATGTTATACTTTTGTGACGAAAAATGCGGCATGGGTCAAGTTCACCTACATTTGTACGAAAATGACCAAACTATTATATTCTTTTCACTTTGGTCCAAATTATAACAAATGTTATACTTTTGTGGCGGAAAATGCAGGATGGGTCAAGTTGACCTTCATTTGTACGAAAACCTCTGCTATAGACCACTTCAACATGCAATCCTCCATCGTAGAACACTTCCATTTACTGTTTGCCATGACCTATCTATTTTGAAGTGGGAAAACAAAGTTTTCTAAGTGATCAAAGTAGGAAAGTTATTTTTTAAAATTCTACAGTTATCTTCAGAAGTTAGCAAATCGGACCAAAAAATAAGAAAAGACAAATAATATAGGGACTAAGGTGGCTACAATGACAAACAACATATATCTAAGAATAAAAGGAGTGATGGTAAAAAAGTAGTGACCAACTATGAAATAATAGGCAAGGACTACTACTGGTATTTGCTATAGTTATAAATGTGTCAAAGTCATTTATACCCCACGTCATCATTTGGACATAATGACAACATGACACTAGTAGTGGCAACAATGCTATTAAAATGGCCTAAGTCGATGATGATGGTTGTGTTTTAGTGGATCAAAGGGCATGATTAATTGAAGTTGGTAACAATAACATTGTTGTCTAATTCACTAATAATGACAATGAAACAAAGAGTGAGAGTCGATGAGATAGTCATAGTAACAACATGTCAGGTAACATTAACATTGACGATAATGAGAGAGAGAGAGAGAGAATTGTAAAACGAGAAACGTAGTTGGAGTGTTATGCGTTTTTGTTAGTAATAATGTTTGAGGTAACGAAAACACAACAACAAAATTACATATGAATGGCGACCGATCAACCGATCAATTACTATTCGAATATTGACTAAATTGATATTAAAATGATTAGACTTTTACTAATTCATTGGGAACTATGAATAAGTTGGGAATTAATTGATTTAGTGTGATTTATGAAAACTAATTGATTATTGAATCAATTAGGTTTATTATATAAAGAATCCCTACAATCAATTGTACAATCAATTGTGATATTTGAATCTCCTTTATATTCTAATAGATTGTACAATCAATTGTGATAGGTCAAAACTCTGGCCACTAATCGATTGTGTAATCAATTGTAGTCTTTCAATCCAATCGATTTTTCAATCAATTATGATTTTTCATTCACTCCAATACGCTGTACCAATTGATTACACAATTAATTGTGTTTGAAATTTTAAAAGTTATGATGTTTTGTTAATATTATTATGATTTTCGGGACAAAATTACAATCAATGTGCTATGTTATGATTCATTGATAAAAGTTATGATAGTTTGCTAATGTCGTTATGATTGTGGGAAAAAAAGTTATACTCAATGTGTTATGGTTATAATTCATCAGTAAAAGTTATGATTTGTGCCACCAAAGTTATGATGAATCATAATAAAAAATGTTACGATTCGAATGATATGATAATTAATTAGAAATAACTATATTTGTTATGAGTTGTCATTATATTGTTATGATTTATAGTGTCTTTGTTATGATACTTTGGTGAATATTATGACATTGTTATGATTCATTGTAATATTGTTATGATATTTGAAAAACGTTATGATTCTTTCTTGTAACATGTTAAATGACCTTTTTAGCAAGTTACTTTTTATGATGTGGCATAATATAAACCACACAATAAATACATATCATATGCCTTTTAGAATATGCACATTGTAGACTTTTCCATAACACTAATACTTTATGGCCATATTTGTTGGCACAAGTTGAATTAGAGGAATTAATATTTTTTGGACGGTTAGTCTTGACATTATCAGTCTATTTGATTTGTATTATGTTTGATATTTGGATTAGTTTACAATTTTGAGGAAAAATTTATTAAATTATATATTTTAAGTAAGAACTTCTCATCAAAACTCTCATTTTATATCGCATCCCCTTTTAGAATTTAATAGTCTTTTTATATGAGAAGTATCGTATCTAATTAGGGGTGGTAAACGAACTAAACAATTCAAGTTCAATTCGTATTCGGCTTGTTAAAAGCTTATTCAAGCTTTATTTGTTAAATAAATAAGTTAAGTTTGAACACATTTTAAAACTCTTTAAAATTTTTAAACCAAGTTTAAACAATCAATTATTCATTTGATCCGATTCAATAAACCTAAATTATATAAAATATCAAACGACTCGAATTCAACTCAATAAAAATTTGTTTAAGATCAATTTAAAAGTTTAACGAATTAACAAATTTTAAAACTCGTTAAAATTATCAATACAAACTTGAACAACTAATTATTTTACTGGTTTGATTCGTTTATCACTCTCTGTCCAACTAAACTATTAATTCCAACTCCAATTTATTTAGTCAAATATAAAATTATAGGATAAATTATAAATACATCTCTTAAGATTTGCTTAAATACGAATTGTTCTATATGATTTGAAAAATTATAAATATCTCATTGTCAGAATTTTTTATTTAACATAATTAATTGAAAAAATGAAATTTCTAATTGTTCACCTATACAATAATAAAATTATCTAAATTTTTAATTGAAATAAAATTTTAACATTATTAAAAATTGTTAATTAACTTGATGATTAAATGAACCATTTATTATAAAATTAGAAACTTTACAAAACATAATATAATTTTTAAAACTACAAAAATTAATTTATAATTTAAGTAGATATCAGCGTTTGTAATTTACATATATTTTGTTATATTTTATTAGTCAAATCCTAAGGCATTACTTGGTCTGTTCCCATTTGTACATTTAGAAAGGCAATAATTGGGCCCATAAACTTATGGGCTTGTTATAATCCAACTTCGGGCCCGTACATTATTGACTATCCAGCCTCTGATAATACACACCTTCTTGAAATCGCTCTTCTAAACCTCCCTTCAATGAAGACAAAAAATGGGATAAGAAACATGGCGGCACACACTTCCTTCCTCTTCTCCCTGCATTTTCCAGTCCTCCAAACACTCTCTCAGTAAGCTTTCTCTCTCCTCTTTACCCACTTCCTCTCTCCTAAAAATCCCTCTTCTCTTCTCTGCACAAATCCATTTTAAACCTCTTTATCTGCTTAAACTCCTCAGTTTCTCCAGACAATTCGAAATACATGGTTCTTTCCAATGCCTCTGTTGTTAGCATGAACTCTTGAGAATAATCTTTGGGGTGAGAACAAGTAGGGCTTTAAAATATGGATATTTCAGTGCCCACAAAGCAAACCCATCATGGGTTTTGCTCGTTTCATTGTATTCATGGTCAGAGCACGAAGAACCATAGATTGGGTGCGAGAATTGGGGCTAGGGTTTGTTCTAATTTGAGCTCCGTGGAGGTATTGGTGGGTCACAGAGCTCGTTTTCTTGTTCTTTCGGTTAATAGTGGTGGTGGGTTGAGAAAACAACAAGGGTTTAGAAAGCAGAGGCGAAATCGGATTTGTGCTCTTTCAAAGGTTGAAACTTTTAGTTCTAATGGAAGGTTGTTGAATTCTGAGAAAACCCAGTTGGGGCAACCGAGTGGTTGTAGTCCATCTTCGAGTCAAGAGAATTATTCACAGAGTTTTGAAGAACTCCAGAGTAATAATTACCTTCGTAGATTAGTTAGAAATGGGGAATTGGAGGAGGGTTTTAAGCATCTCGAGAGCATGGTTTATCGGGGAGATATCCCTGATATCATCCCATGCACGAGTTTGATTCGTGGGTTTTGTCGAATTGGAAGGACTAAGAAGGCTACTAGGGTTATGGAGATTCTTGAGGAGTCCGGGGCGGTTCCTGATGTTATAACTTATAACGTTTTGATTAGTGGGTACTGTAAGTTGGGGGAAATTGATAGTGCGTTGAAGGTCCTGGAACGAATGAGTGTTGCTCCGGATGTTGTTACTTATAACACAATCTTGCGTAGTTTATGTGATAGTGGGAAACTAAAACAAGCGATGCAAGTTCTTGATCGACAGTTGCAAAGGGAGTGCTATCCTGATGTGATCACCTACACTATATTGATTGAAGCGACTTGCAAGGAGAGCGGGGTTGCACAGGCGATGAAGCTTTTGGATGAGATGAGGAACAAAGGTTGTAAACCCGACGTGGTTACTTATAATGTTCTTATTAATGGGATATGCAAAGAAGGGAGACTCGATGAAGCAATTAAGTTCTTAAATAATATGCCTTCTTATGGTTGCCAACCCAATGTAATTACCCATAACATTATATTGCGTAGCATGTGTAGTACCGGGAGGTGGATGGATGCTGAGAAACTCTTGGCTGAGATGCTGAGAAAAGGCTGTTCTCCGAGTGTTGTTACCTTCAACATCTTGATTAATTTCTTATGCCGAAAGGGATTGTTGGGCCGAGCTATTGATATTTTGGAAAGGATGCCCAAACATGGTTGTACTCCGAATTCATTGAGTTACAACCCTTTGCTTCATGGGTTTTGCAAAGAAAAGAAGATGGACCGTGCAATCGAGTACTTGGAAATAATGGTATCTAGGGGTTGTTATCCTGATATCGTGACTTATAATACTTTGCTCACTGCGTTATGCAAAGATGGAAAGGTTGATGTTGCAGTTGAGATTCTTAATCAGCTAAGTTACAAAGGTTGCTCTCCTGTGTTGATCACTTACAATACAGTGATTGATGGGCTATCAAAGGTTGGGAAAACGGAACATGCTATAAAGCTGTTGGATGAGATGCGCAAAAAGGGTCTCCAACCGGATATAATTACCTACTCTTCCCTTGTGGGAGGGCTTAGTAGGGAAGGGAAGGTTAATGAAGCCATTAAATTCTTTCATGACTTGAAGCGATTGGGTGTTAGGCCTAATGCGATCACCTACAATGCTGTGATGTTGGGGCTTTGTAAAGCTCGTCAGACTGATCGGGCCATTGATTTCTTGGCTTACATGGTGTCTAAGGGATGTAAACCTACTGAAGCTACATACACTATTCTCATTGAAGGCATAGCTTATGAAGGCTTAGCAAAGGAGGCTTTGGAGTTATTGAACGAGTTGTGCTCCAGAGGAGTTGTGAAGAAGAGCTCGGCTGAACAGGTGGTTGTCAAGGTGTAACTAGTTACTCATTTGTGATTTCCAAATCATTTACTATCTTCTTTTATTAGCATCAATCTTATTTTACTCGTCATCATGAGCGAAATCCAAATCAGTTTTGTTAGGCTGTCTGCGTAGTCATGCTCTCTTTTTATTTGGATTTTGCTTTACATACTGAGCATTTCTCATTGACTTTTGTATACCTAATGGTCTTGCTCTGTTGTCTAAACTTTTGATTGTTTATTGTGTTTTGTGTTGTCAGTTGCTTGTATTATGACATAATGGTTGGTTGTTTCTTTTAGGAGGATTATTGCTGAAACAGTTTTGTTACTTATCATTTCTGTGTTTCATACTTGTATGTTTGTTGAAGGGTCTAGCAGATCATCATGTTTCTCATTTACAAGAATTATGGTGCTCTCTTTGTAGTGAAAAGTGGTGAAAATAGGATTGTAGAATAATCCGTCAGGTTAGGCCATCTGTTCAATGTCATCACGAAGACCAATCATAAATCTGGAGGTTTTGATTTTGACTGCAACGCCTATCTAAGTCAATACTTGTTACCTTTTCTTTTTCATTTAATTTCATTTAATTTTTTATAAAAAAAATAAATCTGAGTCAATACTTGTTACTTGTGGGTGGTTGTAGGTATATGAGTTCTATCTTGAAGGAGTGAGTCCAAAGTAGTCCTGCCTTCAAGAAGTTTTTCCCCCACCAAAAAAAAAAAAAAAAAAATTTTGAAAAAATGTATAAAAAAAAAAAGAAAAAAAAATAAAATAAAGAGAAAATTGGATTGTGTTTTAACTTTGTTAAGGTTAAACTCCTAGGCCTTGTGCTCAATTTTCATGAAGAATAAATGTTGTACAAGAAAGAAAATGAGCTGAGCATAGATGAAAGACCAACACATAACTTCTTTGTATGACCTTGAAATTAACCATTGGCTCACTAATTATCTGACTTTGTGGACTAAGTGGCATTTGATTGAACTCTGATAAAGAGAAAATTGGATTGTGTTTTAACTTTGTTAAGGTTAAACTCCTAGGCCTTGTGCTTAATTTTCATGAAGAATAAATGTTGTACAAGAAGAAAATGAGCTGAGCATAGATGAAAGACCAACACATAACTTCTTTGTATGACCTTGAAATTAACCATTGGCTCACTAATTATCTGACTTTGTGGACTAAGTGGCATTTGATTGAACTCTGATTCTAGGAGTTTACTATTACTTGAGAATCATGGAAAGGCAGAACTAAGAAAGAAAAAACTAACAGAGCTTTGGTTCTTGGGATTGTGCTATTCTAACGAGTAATTCACCTCTTGGACAAGCCGTGCATGCAGTCCTCTGAGATTTGACCGTCATTGGCGTCTTGAGAACTTACTCAATCCCTATGATTAGTGGGTGCATCGCATTAAAAATTCAATACACCAATCACTTGTTGCTTTGGGAGAGTGCTGGATTATTTGGACTCGAATTGTGTAGAGGCTTTGGGTGCTTGGAAAGCTCTCGCTTTTGCTATTGATCTTGGTGTTTCAAGTATTCATATTGAAGGGATTCTCTCCATGTGAATTAGGGCTGCTTCGATCTGTCAGACATTTGAAGTCAGGCCTGGAGCTTGCTTGGCTTGCTTTGAGCGGTAATACTGCGTACCCAGAATTTTTATCTAGGAATATCGATATATGTTCTAGATTCATTCCCCACAACACACGAGTTCAATCTCAACACACATTTACATTCTGTGCATAACTCTGGAAACATTGTCTGGGTAACTAGGTTTTCCGTGCTTTGAAAGTGGAGAGCCAAAAGGTTTGGATGGAGGAAGTTGCCTCGTGTTTTTCCAGCAGTGCGCGGCGCGCTGATACATGTTGCAGCCTGTCTTTGTGGCTGTGCTTTCCGTGTTTCCGTTTTCTCTGTTTTGTTTTGGCTTGTTGCCTCAATAAAAACAAAAAAACAGAAAAAAAAACAAAATCCAAGTTGGAAGTAGGGGCTGGGATTACCCAGCACTAACCAAAAAAAAATAAAAAGAAGTTGCAGATTTAGAGCTGGGTACAATAAAATTGAACCAAATGAAAACAGTACAAACATAAAACACTAATATAAAGTACTTACATATGTTGACACAAATATTTCCAATTTGTCAAGCCCTAAACTAACCAATCCACGTGCTTCTAAAAACACCTCTGGTTTGCTCTGTTTTAAAAGTGAATCTTCAGCACCTTCACTTATTAAATCCACACCAAGTTACCAAACATATGAACACACAAACTGGCAACTACTAAAATGTAGGACAACCGTCCACTGATATACCCTTTGCTGTAGGGCAAGTTGCCAGATCACAGTGCTCTGGGTCCGTAGTCCCCCACCACGTTACGTTTCTACCCGCCATCCCCACCGTGAAGTAAAGCAGCACCGCCATGAAAGCCACCCCGGCATCCAGAGCCGCCGAGAGGATGTAGTTATACCGTTGCCACCAATCTTTCCGATACCTGAAGACAAAGAAGTTGAAGATTGTCCCAACCAGTATCCAGGAATTGTAGTTCAGGGCCGTGGCTGGTGGCATGTAAGCAGTTGCACCCAGGAGGACTGGGAGGTTAATGAGTGGAATCCAGGTCTGCGTGGGGAATGCCCGGTGGAGGAGCCAGACCACACACGGGCCCAACGCTCCTCCAAGGAAGAACCAGTTTAGGGCCTCGTAGCTCCCTAGGTGGCCGAAGATCCGCCTTGGCCCCACCAGGCCCCAAATGACGGATGCGTCGAAGAAGACGCGGTCATTTGGGCAGGTCCAGGGGCTGTTGGTTGGGAGGATATCCTTGTGGCATATGTCTTTGATGTTGGTCAAAAGCCACCATGCTACACCAAGATTGATTGTTCCTGCAATTATGGTTCCTAGGAACTGGGATCAAAATGAAAGACTTAAGTCGAATTAGAGCCGGGTACATCCAGAACCGAGGGAATTTAAATCAGTAAAGCTACGTACACAGGAAAAAAAGAAAATAGCCCACAAAAATATGTAGAGACATTTTAAAAATATTAACAAAGCTGGTAGTATACAGTTAATTTATTTATGAAGTGAATGTGAAGTGAATTTCATATCTGGGTACAAAGAGGATGTGCAGTGTATAAAGCTAGCTGTTGGGGTTGAGTTTTATCCAAAATCGTATCACATGGTATTAGAGCTGACTTACTATAGGGATGAGTAGGGTGCGTGTCTTGGATCCTATATACTAGGCATGAGGGAGGGTGTGAAGTGAAGTTTCACATTTTCTAAGTACAGGGGAATGTGCAATGTATAAGACTGAGGACACACTCACTCCATAAACCAACTTTTTTAGAATGAGTTTTACCCAAAACTGTGCGATTCTTGATATTGTTGAGTACAAAGGAATATGCAGTGTATAAGCATGCATGAGAATACTTTTCACTTCATAAATTAACTTTTGAGATTGAGTTATATCCAAAACCGTGTCGCAGGGGGGTCTCCTAAATGAGTAATACGATTCTAGATATTGCATTAGTAAGTGGAGAGAGAATTGGGAACGTATACCTGAACTAAGAACATAGATCTAGGAGGAATCTTCATGTAATGGCCTAGCTTGAAGTCACTGAGAAAAGAGATTGCCTGAGTCATGCTCATATAACCATAGGTTTTGAAGCACACATTGGCAATAGGTCTCCCAGGTAATATTACTCCCATTATGTACTCTGTTATGATATTCAGCCCCGGTGTCTGTAACAAAAACCATAATTCCATGGCTGTGAGAGAGAGCCTCTTTTTATTTATTTATTTATTTATTTTTAACCCAAAAACAAAAACCAAAAAACCTCAAGTTGATCATATTCACAACTAGAAAGGAATGACTGATAATTAAGATGAAATATGAGTTATAGTGATGTAATTATGAATTTCAAAACACGGCTTCAACAGTAAAGTTGTATTTTGAAATTACAACTTAAGTTCAAAACTATTTGGGAAATATAATTTAAAATTACATGAATTTAGTAATTAAAAGAAAAAAACTCAAATTGATCATATTCATAATAACTAGAAAGGAGTGGCAGAGAGTAGATTACTTGATTGGTGGTGGCAGTGATGATGCTGATGGGGAGGGTGAAAGTGAAAGCAATGAAAGCAGCAAGAATGAGGCCCCAGTAAGGCATCTGAACCTGCTTCTTGAGGAAGATGCAGAGAAGAAGGGAGACAATAAGTGTTACAGCCAGAAGGATGTAAAACCACCAAGCAGGTATGTCTGGGTACTTCTTCATCAACCTTGTATGTACATCCTCTTTTCCCTCTGAAGATGCCTTGTATCTTTCATATATTTCCCTGTAAACACACACAAGAATTCTATGTCACCACTCTACCCCAAAATATATATATGATATGCTAAAAAGACTGCTCGTAAAAAATTTGTTCAAGATCGGCTCCTCCTAATGTAAACAAACAAAACTTGAATGGATTATAACATTTGTTATGTTTTCACGCCAAGTTTGAACAACTGACTATTCAGTTGGATAAGCTTGCATTATAAATAACTAAGCTACTCGAGCTTGTGTCATTATTGACTCGATTAAAACTTGTTTGAGATGTGCTCGAAAGGAAACAAGGAGACTTAAAGACATTTTGAAACTCATTAAGTTTGAACAATTTATTGCTCAGCTCAACTTGGCTTCTTTACAATCTTATTTATTAAACATGATAAATATCATTGTCGTCAATGGTTTGTGTGAAAGAACCAGATTTACCTGCTTTTTGAGAAATGAGAACCAAAAAAAAAAAAAAAACAATAATCATGGTTAAAAATGAACTTACTTTAACAAAATTTAAAAAAGAATAAAAGAATAAAAGAAAAATTAATCACTGCTGAACATCAGTTACACATAAATGTTGAATTGACTTGTATTCTTCTTGCGGACAAGCTATTGAATTGAAGTTATAGTCCAACCAAATTGGATGCATATATTTCTACAATTTTGCAATAAAACTAGGAAAATTTCAGAAATTAAACTTATAATTAGAAGAATCTCATGACTAACTATTTCCAATTTCCAGTAGAATTAAAAGAAAAAAAAAAAAAAATTAAAAAAAAAAAAAAAATTTT